CTGGCTCCCCCCCCCCCCCGCCCCTCCAGTCTGCCCTGGTGCTGGACTGCATAACCTGAAGGACAGGAAAGGGTCAGAGGAACCCCTCCTTCCCCACTCATCCAGGTCTCAGTTATGCATGCCAGGTCTGCATCCTCCTCCAGAATAAGATCTTGAATAAGCTGGGATTTGTTGGATGCAGACCTGGCGTTCAACAGGACCAGGTTCAGAGTAGAGGGCCAGCTAGGCTGCCTACCTCGATATTGGCAGTTGGTCACAGTGCCAGAACAGTGAACAGACTTCAAACATCTGTTCACTGTTCTTCTAACACGAGTAGGCACTGTACCAGCGCCATAATAAAACAATTGTAGTCCCAGCTGCCAATGGCATAGCTATAGAGCTTTTAAAAGTTTTAGTCCCAGAATCTGCAGATCCATGCTGAATCCTGGAGGGTGAATGGTGGATTCTGGGAGTTCTAGTCCAGAAAAGGAACTTCTCCTCACGCTGTCCTGTGAGTCAGGGACCCTTAGGCTGGCTTTTGGCCAGTTTTCTCAACCTTCTCAGAGCATCTAAATTCCATTTAACTCTTGTTAAGTGTTGCTGGGGGTCCTGTGCTCCAAAACGGGTTTCATACTGAACAAGGAGCAGCCTCAGTTGCCTTGCACAGTGGCAGCCTTCCCTCAAAGCCACACAACATGGATAGTCTCCCCAAACGAACAACGACAGATGCCTGGTGCTTTACAGAATCGACAGAATTTCCTCCTTCACAATGAAACTGAGCTTGATTGACCCACCAGATAATGTACACGGAAACATTTGTTTGCCTAATCACACTTAAAACAGTGTGTGTGGGGGGAAGCTCTGTGGGCAAAGCAAGCTTCTGGAAGCACGACTCTGCTTTAAAACAAGAGCCACGCTTCCTGCACATCTTTTTAAAAGAAAAGGGCAAAATCAAGATGTGCAGGGCAAATACAGAAGGCTTTCCTTCCTGCTTTATTTTAATATCTGTATTTTTACATCTTGGATTTTTACATGTTATTGGTTGTATTGTTTTTAAATTTTGTTATGCCGCCCAGATTAGACTTTCTGTCTAGATGGGCGGGGTATAAATCTAATTTTAAAAAATATGGCCTTTTTGTCAACACCAACAAAGGTTATTTATTTATTTAAAATATTTCTATCCAGCCTTTCTTCTTAAAAAGACTCCCGGGTTAGTTATGCAGTGGCAAAGAGTGAAGGTGATGGAGGTTGCACAGGATGGGCTTGGGGAGGAATTAGCAACGCAGGCTGTCTATTGCCCTTCTCTAATTTGAAATGAAGGGGGTGTGAACCTTATGCACAGGTGAGTATGGGAAGAAAAGAGACAACAGGGTAGAAAAAGAATTTATTTGAGACCAGTTGAATGAATTCTCAGGCTTGCACATGGAAACAGACTGTAGCCCCCACAGAAAAGGAGCTAGATAGCTTTCAGGGACGAAACCGGATACACTGAAAAGTTCACTCAAATCAGAGGTGGGCAACAAGAGTAACTGAAAAATACTTTCTCCTGTCTTCTCTCCCAGGTGGTCGCTTAAGAGAAGAAGACAGAGGTTGTAATGAGGATACTTCCCACTGTGGAACTGAAGGCACAGATCCTAAGACCGGATATGAATACAAAATCAGCTGTTGTTCTAAACCAAATTTTTGCAACAGTGACTGAATAAAGACTGCCATGAAAAAAAAATCTGTATAATCAAAAAGCCTAGTTAGTAAAGCAAGAATGTTAATTGTCTGTTTCATGAAGCACACAGTCCCAGGCTCAAGGGATCCAGCATAAGGTGTCATCCTATCTGGCTGTAACTGCCACACAAAGGTTAGAAATCCTAACCTTGTTGGGTATACAAAGTGAACTTAAGCAGGCTGTATTGTGAAATGTGAAAATACATGCAGCAAGACACACAAAAATAAACTTATATCAAAACTACATCCAATCTTTAAAAAAGCAAAACCCGAAACCAAATTATCTTAAGAAGATGGGTGTGCAGCAGAAACAAAAGAAAAACACTGCACAAAAAATAGTGAACAAACATTTTAAAACGACTTGTCAGCATGAAATTTTAAAATGGTACACAAAAATTCAGTTATTCCTATATAGTCCATCTGGTGATCTCCATGTGTACAGCCCTCTGCATGGTTGCTTGAAGCATGTATTTGAGATCAGCAGATTGTTGGCTTCTCAGAACTCTATGAGTTTTTCTCCTGTTTCATTTTTTTCCCTTAAGCCAAATTTTCCAATGACATTTGTTTCTGGTTTGTTTCCTTCTTTTGTGTTCCAGTCATCTATGACTATAATCGTGTCTTGTTTTGGTGTGTGATCAATTTCCTCCTTGAAATTGGCATAATAGCTTTCAGTTTCAGTTTCTTCAGCATCTGTAGCTAGAGCATAGACTTGTATGATGTTTATATTGACACGTTGTCCGTGGATTCTGAGTAATATTATTCAGTCTTGACTTTACATTATAGCCCGTAACTGTCCGTGCTACATCTTGCCTCTGTTTTAGAGACACTCCATTTCTTCTGAGTTCATCATTTCCAAAGCAAAACACTCTGAAATCGTCTGATTGAAAATATCCATTTCCAGCCCACTTTAGTTCACTGACACAAAGCACGGCAATATTTACGGTATACATTCCATTTCTTGCTTTAGGATTTTCAATTCATCTTAATTCATACTTCTCATGTTTTATGTTTCAAATGCATATGTTGTGCATCATTGGACTTTCCTTTGACTATTGTGCACATCAGCCACTAGATGTCCTTTTGGCTTTAATTTAGTTGCATCATTAGCAACAATGCTATTTGTGCTTGTCCTTTGCACTTCCCCAGATTGACCATTTTCTTATCTGGGAGTCTCATCTTCCAGTACTATAATTTGTTTCTTTTTGGACTATCTCATCATACGGTTTCCATGGTAAGAAAAATTTAGCAGTAGTTTATTACGGCCACCTTCTGTGCAATACTAACAAACTTTAGCTTGAGTGTCACTGCTATTGCCTCCTCTGCCGGTGTCACCTTCAGCTACCACAGTTCCCCAGTGGTAGCTACTGCTTTGTCACCATTGGAACTATCTTCTTATTTTTAACAATTGCAGTTGAACATTATGAAGACAAAAACTATGACTACAGAAAAACTACACAACTTTAGGTCTTATAAATTTAAGGATCCAGTTTGTTGTACATGTTAAGGATTTGGATTAACATACCTACTTCTCTAATTGCAGTCTTTTCTGATGATTATAATTTTGCCCCATTCAAACACTAAAAGGTCAAGACTTTGTACTGTATTCTAGAAGAATATTATTTATTGGGGACTACACTTGCAAGAGCAAGGAACTGGAGTTGAGGTGTCCTGGTTCTGGATTCTGCATGTCATTCATCTCACAGCAAATCCTGTCCATTTTTATTATTTGAATCTTTCAAAGATCTCTTAACCTAAAAAGGAAACCAAAGCCGTTATCTATAAGTATTGCAAAGTATTAACTGACCTCTTTCTTGGAATGGCAGTCAGTAGGAAACATGCAAGGGAGAAAGATTTAAATAGCACGAGAATTCTTCCTGGTGAAAACTAGGGATGTGCACCAGCTTTGAAGAAAAGTGTTCAGACAGCAGGGAGGAGGGGTTATGTGTGCACTGCCTGAGGAGCTACGGACAATTCGCAAAGCCCTCAATTTGGTTGGGTCTATTGCCCTGAATACCACTGAGGTTTGCCCTGGGATATGGTGTTAAGATCTCTTTCTCTCACACACACTCATAGTTACACATGTGAATTCATACCTACACAAACACTGTGTTTACCTCTCAATCCAAGGTAGGCATCATTAGAGAAAATTTTAGATCCTTCTGCCGTGGCCACACACTTGTAATGTCCAACATCTGTATAATCTACAGAAGAGATGCTGGTGGGGAAAGGAAAAGTTGAAAATGATCACAGTCACTCAGTTTCTCAGCTCTTGTTTTACTCTTCATCAGAACAAAAGCAACGTTCAGGAATCCCTCCTTTAGCACCCATTTAGAACATCAGCTCTCCTTGATTCCATTTTTGTTTTGTTTTGCTTTGTTTTTAAGTCTCTAGTCCTTAAAGAATTAGAAATTTCAGGCAAAACATACAGTCCCTGGCCAGTTGGTATGGAAGAAATGAGCCTTCCAATAATTGAAGGCATCTAAAGGTAGCGTGCATGTATATAGCAGGGGGAATATGGTTTGCTCCGTTGTATATTCATGTTCATCAAATTGGGTTTCCATGTCTTAATTGCTGGAGCCATCTAGATGGCAATTTTCAGGAGTCAGTAGGTAGCTCTGTCTGCATCGAGCACCAACATCAGAATTGCCTATAAGTGCTAACAAGGTGCTAATTGGCAGTTCCCACCTCTCTCTTTTGTTTATCTACTTGTCCTAGAAAAAAAACCCTTCCCTTTTTTGGGGAGAAGACCTGATGTAGGGACATGGGGTAGTCAGTTGAAGGGAACTGACATCCCCGGGAGCACCCATTTGCATGGGATCAGGGGATCACATTGGCAGAAAGTAGACAACAGTGATGTCAGCTCAGTCGGAGCAAGTTTAAACACCCATGGTGTCTGAATTTAAAAAAGATAATTTTTGAATCGAAAAAGGGAGTTCCAGAATTCCCTGCACTGAGCTTTACATTGTGTAGTTAAGGCATTTTAATTCCAATTCATCTGTGCCCAGTCTGATGTAAACTGTGGGATGCACAACCAATGTGGCCACCTCCCTAGATAGAACCTTATGGATTTATACATTATATATTTCATCTTCTTACAAGACATGCATACCAATTAAAAGAGAGAGAGAGAGAGGAAATTTTCCAAGTTCTAATAGTATGTATCTGATTCCACTTTATCATTTGAAGGAGCACTGGAAAAAAACAAGAGGAAAGTATGCTTCTTCTATAACACCCCACGGTGCTTAAAGCGCTCTCTGGGTGGTTTACAGTTTAATTATGCAGGCTATGCATTGCCCCCCTTCTCCTCCCCCCCCCCAGCAATCTGGGTACTCAATTTACTGACCTCGGAAGGATGGCAGGCTGAGTCAACCTTGACCCAGCTACCTGGGATTTGAACCCCAGGTTGTGAGCAGAGTTTTGGCTGCAGTACTGCTGTTTAAGCACTGCGCCATGAGGATAAATTACTAGAAGCTTCTGGTTATAGTCATTGTTATTCTTAGTACTAGTATTCTTAGTACTGAGATTTGTAAGAAGATGGTTGCTGAGAATCTTAACATTTCTAGGAAAATGTTTCAAAGAATGATGAAGGGACTTGATGCAGTCCCAGCCAGTGGCAACCATCGGCACCTCTCCCCATTCCACCATTCTGTGAAAGTCAGGGCATCCCAGCCAGCCACAGAATGGGGCTTCTCTGCTACTCTCTGCAGCAGAGGCGTTTGGTCTCATTATTATGCCAGAGAGGATCTCCTGTGCCGTTTTGGCTGCAGAGTGCTTACATCAATTCACTGGTAGTCACCCACTCTTTTTCATCCAAGGCCACCTGCGATTGATTATTCTCAGCCAGCTCCAGAGGAGCACCGTTCCTCATCCAGCTGATTTCGGCCGGCTCGACAATGGGGCGGGCACGGAAAGAGCAGGACAGCTTAGCGCTTTTGTCCAACGAGGCAGAAAGACTTTCCGGGTGCTTTTGGAAATATACCCCTAGAAGGAAAAGAGAACATTGAAGCATCAAAATGGGAGGACAGGAGAGAAAGTGGAGCCATAGAAGACTGCATCAGATAGGGGGGGGGACCTGAACTGTAATCTCTTTCTTCACAATGGAAAAGCTGGAGGCAGTGGGGAAAAGAGGAAGACCACATTTTATTTTGTCTTTGCAAGATGTGAGCAGGGCTTTTTATGACTGGTCATTAATTCACCGGGTGTCAATAAGTCTGAAGCTCCTTTAGACCTCAGAACAACAATGTCCTTATGAAGTAATCTTCAACCAATGTCTTTTCTTTGTCTGACACCAAGATATATGCATAATATACAGACTGGCACTTTTATAAATGTGGATAAAGTTTCACTGTAAAATGTAAATGTGACTTTCTTTTCTTCTTCTTCTGACCTGCCATATGATAGAAAGGGTCTTTAGTAATTTTACTTGCCATTATTGTGTGGGGTCAATGGTTTTATCTCAAAATGGCCCCAGGAGAAACACAGAACAAATGACTCTCTCTACTCATTGGCTCATTCTCCCTAGACACTAGGCTACCTCCCAACCCCTCTGTTTTATGCCAAGCATTTCAGGAGAGCTAGCTCTCTAAGACTCCTCAGTCATGACACAAAATGTTAAAGCATGAATTCCTTCTTCTTGGACTAATCCATCACACGATTAGGATGTTCCTTCTTCTTGGACTAATCCATCACACAATTAGGATGGTTAAAGTTAAAGGTAAACGGTTCCCCCGCACAATTTGCCCAGTCGTGTCCGACTCTAGGGGGCGGTGCTCATCTCCATTTCCAACCCATAGAGCTAGCGTTTGTCTGAGGACAATCTTCCGTGGTCACGTGGCCAGCGTAATTAGGCACGGAACGCCATCTAATGGTTAATGAGTTGCATAAATCTGCTTCCAAAGAATCTCTGGACCTCTTCCAGTGACCTCACCCCCCAGCCCTGCCTCCAGAGAGCTGGCCGTCCACTAGCTTTCCAGGGCACCAGTTACCCCCCCCCCAAAAAAAACAGCTTTTAAAAGTTTGGGTTCTCAATGATGTTCCAAGCCAGTGGTTCTTAACCTTGGGTTACTCAGGTGTTTTTGAACTGCAACTCCCAGAAACCCCAGCCAGCACAGCTGGTGGTGAAGGCTTCTGGGAGCTGCAGTCCAAAAACGCCTGGGTAACCCAAGGTTAAGAACCACTGTTCCAAGCAATTGAAATTGCAAACACCCCCAAATGTAAAATTCATTTATAAATAAGACTACATGGAATGGCACCCTTTGAGTGAGTATTGGTGATCAGCCTGCATCATCCACAGACCTTTCTTTCTTTGGTGGAGTAATTCACCCTGCACCTCTGAAATAAAATGGGCTCTTAAACTGGGCTCTTAAAACTGATGTTCACTATACTTGTGGTCCACAAAGATTACCAAAGATATCAGTGGTTAATATTGTTTGTGGAAGTAGCCATTTTGAGTCCCACAAAATTCAGAAGGTAGCTTAGAAAGGGTTTCTGGGGGAAAATACAATGGCAACAGTTCGCTGCGAAAGAAGTTAATGCGTTGGAGTAAAATTTTGTTTAATGGAATCCTACTGGAAGTGAGAACACTCACAATGTCAAATTATGTGGCCAGGGAGTAGACACGGTCTAGAGGGGCAGGGTATAAATTTAATAAATAAATAAATAAATTAAATAAAGTGGCTTTTCACTACAAATTCCACTGCTGCTCATATGGGGGGGGGGAATCTATCATAATCTATAATTTATTTGACACAGTGAGTGAAAAGGAATATAATGCAGACAAAGATTTTAATTTATAGGGCCTAGAGCACATCTGGTGTTGGTAAGAGTCTACCTCCAAGAATCAAAATATATATGAAAATGCATGTTGGTTAGTCATGGTTATACATTCCCAATCACTCATATTCATTGAGCAGCTACTAAGATTTGAGGTCCATTTTTCAGGCTTCAGGGAATGGGACATAGCCCACCTAGCAAACCTAGATCTTGACATTTATTCTTTTCACTTTGAGACATATCATTCAACAGGCTAAGATGAATCGTTGTACAGTATTTGTTGTTTGCTTGCGTGTTGTAGAGCTGCTACGGTGGCAATGGAGGTCGTCACTGCTGTAGGAATTTATGCACTGGCCTTTAAATTCAACACTGATTTTTTTTTGCGCTTCCTGTTTGTTTGTTTCTCTCTCTCTCTCATATGCACCCCACCCATCCACAAACAGCTGATTATGCAATGTTTGCTCAACGCTACACAATATCACAAATATCTTCTCCAGATAACATCAAGGGGCCTCGCTCCTAGTCACAGGCTTAAGCGCTGAAGCTACAGAAATCAGGATGCTTCTGAAATGACAACCTGAAGTCACACAGGAAAGGGGAAAGACAGCAGGAATTTTGTGGTCGGCCCTGGCACCATTGAGACACAGATCTTGGCGAATGATGGTACTGCATGATGCCAATACTATGACATTGAGGGTTTTTTTTTTAAAGGCCTTGTGATAGTTTTTCTGTGGTGCTTGGTTTATATGTGGGAAAAACATTGTTATTTTGTGCATATTTTTATATTTAAGATACAGACTTTTAAAAATGTTTTGTATTGGTGTTTTTTAAAAAAATGCTATAAAAGGTACTTTTTTCAAAAGGGAAAGATAATAGCTGTTATTTGGAGTTGTATCAGTCACTATAGCTTTAATTCTTTCTCTACCCTTCGTTTATTTGCACTAGGAGTCTATGGGGGTATCACACTGTTATTTGGAGTTGTATCAGTCACTATAACTTTAATTCTTTCTCTACCGTTCGTTTATTTGCACTAGGAGTCTATGGGTGTATCACAGTCTCTCTCTCTCTATCTCTCTCTCTCTCTCTCTCTCACACACACACACACACACACACACATACACACACACATACGTTTACCTTCCAGTTGGAGGTAGGTGTCATCAGAGAAAATTTCATTCCCTTTTGCCACAGTCTTACACTTGTAGCTTCCAACATCTCTGATCCTTACAGAAGGAAGGCTGGTAGGGTTGTAGAGATGAAAAGGAGGAAAAATTGAAAATTTTCAGTTATCCAGTTTCTCGGCACTTATTTTCATCCTCATCGAGAACAAAAGCAACATTCAAGAAGTGTTCCTCTAGTGCTCATTTCAGTTATCAGCCAGCCTGGATTCTACATTTCTATTTCTTTAAAAAAAGGGATCTCTCATCCTTAAAGAACCAAAGATTTAAGACAAAACATGCAAGTACTGTCTCAGCCAATTGGATTCCAATAAATGATCCTTCCAGTTAGATACTAGATGAAGCCACCTAAAGATAGGGCTTGATTGTGCAATGGTCTGTGTATTCACTGTTTATCAAATTGGTTTTTCCTGGGGGAATTGCTGTAGCCATCAAGATGACAACTTGAGGATTTATCAGGGTAAATGCAAAGAAATCAGTTTGCATGGCGCTATAACATCAGAATCTGCGTTAGGGTGCTAAGAAAGTGCTGATTGGCAATTCCTGCCTCTCTCTCTTTGCTTATTTAATTCTCCAAAGTTTCTTAATAAATTTATGTCCAGAGCTGAGTTCACCACCCCCGTTTTTTGTTTTGAAAGACGTAATATGCACACTTCGGTGCCCTTGGCGGAGGAGAACTGACATCCCTGAGAGCATCTTGAGCTTTACTTTGTATAGTCAATGGGTTTTTTTAAACTCAAATTTATCAGTGCCCGATCTGATGTAAACTGTGGAGCAAACGACCAATGTAGTCACCTCCTTAAACAAAACCTTAGGGATCTGTACATTATATGTTTCATCTTCTTACAAGAGATATATATACCAATAAAAAAGATATTTTTCCAGGTTCTGATAGTACATATCTTGCCATATTTCTAGCAAAACCAAATTTCATTCTATCATTTACATCAATGGTTCCCAAACTTTCGGTCCCGAGATGTTCTTGAACTAAAACTCCCTGAAGCCATCACCACTAGCTGTGCTGGCCAGGATTTCTAGGATTTGTAGGTCAAGAATATCTGGGGAAGCAGGCTTCTGGATGCTTGGCTTAACTAGATGCTGTCCTGAGGAAAGGAAGCATTGAGAAAAAATAGAGAGAAAGGATAAATTACTATAAATTTCTGGTTGTTGTCATTGTTATTCTTCGTAGTATTGAGATTACTGACTAGATGGCTGCCAGGGATCTTAACATTTCTGGGAAAATATTTCAAAGAGTGATTAAAAAGGACTTTGATATACGAGACGTACACAGTTTTGGGGTTCCTGGGAGCTGAAGTCTAAAAGATCTAAAAAGTCAAATATTCCTGGTGGTTCGTCTAGCGCAAAAACAGTTCCAACCCATAGAAGCCAGCTACATTTTGCCCCATTCCGCCTTTTTGGGAAAAGCCAGGGCATCCCAGCCAGCCACAGAGTAGGGCTTCTCTCCAGCACATGCACAGCAAAGCTGTTTGGTCTTAATATTTCTCCAGAGAGCATCTCCTATCGTGGTTAGGGTACAAACTGCTTACATCAGTTCACTGGTGGTTACCCACTCTTTATCACCCATGGGTACCTCGATCTCATTAGTTTCAGCAAACTCCAGAGGAGCATCGTTCATGAACCAGCTGATTGTGGGTGGGGTGTCAAGGTTTTTGGCATGGACAGAACAGGAAAGTTTTAAATAACTGCCCAATGCAGCCGTCAGGGTTTCTGGTTGCTTTTTGAAATACACACCTAAAAGGAAAATAAAATACTGTACTAGAACACAAAGTGATGGTATGACAAAGAAAACAGAGGCAGAAAAGAATGCATGAACAAAGGCTAGGAGTCTAGCTGCAAGGTGTTAGCTCATGTCTCAGCTCCATAGTCTTCTTTCTGACTGGCTTCCACAAAATATAGTCAACCCACTCACAAACCCGCATAAAACAACAACAAAAACCCAAACGCCACCCCTCCACACATGTTGTATTCCATTTTTACTGGAATTTAGTGCTTCCTTAATTCTATTTCGCAAACACTGCATAATCAATTCCTCTTCTTATGACATTTCACTGACAGATTCTTTGTTCCCAAATAAGTTGTTTTATGTTGATCGTTACTCGTCCAATATACAGATGGGGCATTTTACCATTAATAACATGGTATACAGTTTGGTTAAAACTGGAGGAAGGCTTAGAAGATACCCAAGATGGCCAGAAAGATGTAAAAGTGGGCCATACCTCAAAAGAACCCTAAACATACCCTGGAAGCAAAAGTAGCAAAATTGTGACTGTTGTACTCTGGGAATGCAGAGGAAAGACACACTGGAAAATGCAATGATGCTAGGAAAGTTGAAGGCAGCAGGAAAAGAGGAAGACCGAATATTGCTTTTTATGGGCTTTGATAAAGTTTTGCTTTCATTTCATGGACTGTGCCCATTTGGATGGATGATGTCACTACGTTTCTATCACTGAATCTCAGTTACTGGACAATCTGACAATGAAATCTCAGATGAAATGACAATGAAATGTGTTGCGTTGATGGTTCTATTCATCTGTTGTATGTAAATTAGCCACTCAGTTACTGGACAATCTGACAATGAAATGTCAGATGAAATGACAATGAAATGACAGTGAAATGTGTTGCATTGAAGGTTCTATTCTTCTGTTGTATGTAAATTAGCCGTACATCCTCTTTTAGGGAGAACAATCCATCATGCGGAGGGTGGCTGAGAAACCTCCTCCTTTCGAAAATGTTCTCTTTTTCAAGGCCTGTCCAGTATGACTCTGATTTAAACATAAAAAGACACAAAGAGGGAAAGCTGGAACCCTGAATTTGCCTATCCAGAGAGAGCTCGCTCTGGCCAATTCCATTTCTCAGTATCCCTTCTTTTCCTCCCCCTTCCTGTTGACCTTCCTCCAGCATAGTCAAATGTAAAGTGTCAAATCCTTGGACCTCTTTTTATTATTGCTTTTGCTTAAGCAAAAGTTACTTGTGTTATTTATATCGTTGCAGTGATGTGTATGCAAAACCACACAGATCACTGTAACTATATAAACAACATGAGTAACTTGACGGGTGGGAAGTCGCTTGTGCTGATCTTAGTATTGCCAATCAGGGTAGTACGGACTCTCAAGGGACCCATCAGGTACCACTGAAGGTCCTTCTTTTCCTCCAGCTACAGGTCCTTGTTTTATTGCAACTCCCAGGTCGAAAAGAACTAGGTTCCCCTTCTAAATCCAAAAACAATTGGAAAGAGCCTGAGATCTGGCAGTAGCTACTGAAGTGGCCCAACTGAAGACACTTGGAAAGGGGGAATTTCTGATGAACAGGCTCATCTCTATAATGTTCCAATTTGGACAGCAGACTCATCTGACCCCACCACCACCACCACCAAGCTTGGCAGCAAGAGCAGACTGCCTGATTCAAAACTGCATCTCTTTTGAAACTCAGCTGTTTGGAGAGGGAGTGTGGTATTCTGAATAGAACACCTCAGAGTCAGACAGCTGGAGTCATATCCTTAGTACATCCACAGAATTCATGGGCTGGTTTTGAACTTGTTGCTACCAGGCTTAGCTGATCTCATTCAATTACTATCCTGTCTCTTCCCATCAAAGAACTCTAGGTGGAACATTCATGGAAAAGCCTCACGCGAGCCTCACAACATTGGTACGTTAGGCAAAGATATGCTTGTTCCCTCACCTTATCTCCAAGATTTCAGGGCTGAAACCATTATATTAGAGCTCTAGAAAATAAGTAAGACCGAGAGACCGCAACTTACCTAACAGGGACTTAAAAACCGCCTGGTCATTCAAGGTATTGTGATACACTTCTGGAAGAGCCCCTGCAAAGCAAGTTAAGGCTGAATTATGTGATCTGTCCTGCACCCCATGTCGTGGCCAAGAAAGCCTTTCAACTCAGATTCTCCACCTCCCATCCAGCCCTTCCCATCACCTTACACCAGCTCTTAGTACTCTGGATTTGTCTGTTCTGGGTTTTTTTTTTGCTCACCTCTGACCATGCACCATTGAGGGTATGTATCTTGTTTCATACTGACACACGCTGACATATACTATAGACAGACACACTCACCTGCCTGGGCCCAGCCGATACTCAGGCACCAGACTATCAGGCGGCAGAGAAGAGCTTGGCTAAACTGAGCCATTTGCTGAAAACCCAATGGATGCCACCTCCAAAGTCAGAATAATGGCTCAATGGCAGAGACGGAGGTTTGCCTTAAGTATCTTAAGACAACAGGAAAAAAACAGAAGAGGAACATTATAACAATAATTGATGCTGAAAGCATTGAAATGTGACAGGCACACTTGAATATTTTAGAGGGCATTAAATGGTATTCTTCTATGAAACACATAGTGATCAAAAGCCACCCAGAACAGAAGAGAATGGCCCTGAATTACACCTTCTGAGCAAGCCAAACCAACGAAGTTGACCAGTCAGACATCACTAGATGGAAATGATGCAACATGCCAGGATCTCAACTCCAAGGAGACCAAAACAACAGAATTCGCTCATCACAAACTATTGGGGAAGCAATGACAGCCTCCAGCATTTCATGGAAATCATATTCCTTTGCTCCTGACAGGAAAATATTAATGGACTATTTTCTAAAATACACTTCTTCTTTTTTTGTTTTGGCCAGGAACAAGTTCTGGAAAGTGGTTTCTGTTAGTATTTTGTAGCAGGGAAAATTGATGAGATCAAGAGGGTTGTAATGGGGACCAAAGGGTTAGCATTCCATGCTTCTCTTATTATACACTCACTCTGGATCTCCACAGTGGCTGCTTCAGAAAAAAACATCCTTGTGCTTGTGGGTGAAAGACAGGATTAACAGCCCATGTCGTATTATATAATGGCAAGATATTAATTTTAAATTAATCTCAGGCGTGGGGAGAGAAATATCACTACACAGAGAGATTAATATTTCGGAATCAATTAAAATGGTCTTTTAGGGGATCAAAAACTAGGGGCCAATATATTAGGAATGTGCTCTATCTTTGGGGGAAATTTGCAAAATGAAATTCTAATTTTTTTTAAAAGTGACAGAGCACAGTCCTACACCAATTTGTAGATTTGTGAATGTGTTATCTCTCATGTAGGCTCTGGTGGGATGGGTCACGATGGCCTTAAGTTCTCTCTCTCTCCTTCCTTTTGTCACTGTTTCTAACTGTGGGTAATGCTTTAAGCCTTGTGTCATTCGAACAGCCAGAAAAATAAGAATATTATCAGCACAACATTGGGTAATTGTAAGAGACCAAATGCTCCATCCGAATTAGCCTTTGAATGCTTCTGCAGAAAAGAACATGTTCAGATTGTAACACTTGACATCATCTATATAAACGCAACAAAAAAGTGAACAAACAAAAACACTGCCATTTGTTTGTTTTGCCTTCCTCCTTCTCTGGTTGCAACACACCCTTAACAAATGGTGACCTACAACCTTTCTCTGCAACAGTCATCAAAATGAATCTAAAATGTCTACTATCTTTTTGTCTCTGGACCGTTTTTGTGTTCATCTCCCCCAGTTTTCTCAGTACAGTAGTTTATTTTTATTGCATTCTTTCTACCTGTATTGAAAAACCATCCATTTATGGAAACATATCATCTCTGGACCAGTCAAGAGGTGAAGCATGGAGTCAGGAGCTCCGATTTATTTATTTATTTAGGGCACAGTGTACCGATTGATGGGAACAATTCAAATTCACTTTATGATTCACTTACTGATCCACTGAACTCTCCTGTTCTGCCCTTATTTCCTGCTGATAACCACTTTAACTAGTGAACCGTGTGTGCTATGTGCAATTCACTATTGTGTTTTATGTGTAATAAAATTGTCTCCAAGTAAGAGCAAACTTAACAGGGTTTTCCAGGTACATGAGATTTCAAGGTGATATTTAAGATTGCCACAGTGAACCTCCAATGGCCAGGTGGGGATTTGAACTATGGCCTCCTAAGTCCTACCACAACCCTCTATCTGCTACACTAAACTGCTTTTGCTACCATTCCATGTAAATAGACGGCAGAAATGAAGGTCCCAGATTGATATGCTAACATTGGTGACCTTTGACCCTTTGCCCATCCCTCCAATCCAAATAGGATTGTATTTTTTTTAATGTGACAGGGCAGGGTAAGACACCTCCCCCACCACCTGCAAGAAACATAGACCATCCCGAAAGAATACTTGTAGAGATGGGGAATATAAATATGAATATCTCTGTCCCAGCTGCAACTAATGAGGCTCCACCCCCTAGAACTGGCCTGTCCACTCATGTGCCACCGCACTGCCAGTGTCCTGCTCTTCCAATCAATTGCGGAAGTAGCTCTGCTGTCTCCATATTCGATTGGCCACTCCAGGCAAGGAGCGGGTGGACGAGTTTCCCCGCCCAGCTGCTCCCTCCAGCCAAGGAGGGAGACACCAGAGCTACTTCCAGGATTGGCAAGAAAAGCGGGACATTGGTGGCATGGTGGCAAATGAGTGGGTGGGCCAGTTCCGTGGGTGGGGGAACGACCTGCATTTATTGCAGCACATTGGTGGCATGGTGGCAAATGAGTGGGCGGGCCAGTTCCATGGGTGGGGGAACAACCTGCATTTATTGCAGCTGGGACAGGGCTATTTGTATTAGTTTATGAATACGAATCTCCCCATCTCTAATTACAGGTTTGCTCTGGTACAAAGGAGATTGATAGCTGAACCCACAATGAAGCCCCAGGGCCCTCCCGGGCATTTCAGCTGCTGAGGTCCGGGGAGAGCTCGGAATGAGATCACTGGAGTTTGTATATATTTCTACAGCTTCTTAGGCAGCCTCTGCATTGAGGCAGGGTGAAAGAGTTGGTTTTAGGGTAGGTGTTGCATTCTGGCATTTTCTTGGTTTTTTGTTTTTCATCTCTATATACTAATCAGTTTACTGTATACTTTTACATTACACTATCAGGATGGAGGACATGTAGGTATTTGGTGAACATATTCTCTCTTGTGCGGAGTCTGGTTGGACAGATCAGAAGGGCCCTGAGGAATACCTTCCTCTTCCGTTCTGTCACTGTTTGTCAGTATGGGCAGTGCTTTAAGCTTTGTGTCATTTGGACAGCATTAGAAAATAGGAATATTATCAGCACACCATTGAGTACATAAAAGGGACCAAACTCTCCATCTGCATGAGCCCCTTGATGGCTCCGCAGAAAGGAACACACTCAGATCATACTACATGACATCATTTACCCAAACACCTTTTATGCCCCACCCAAAAAAACCACCCCTCATTTGTTTGTTCAACCTTCCCTCTTCTCTGGTTGCAAAGCACTCTTAGCAAATGCTGACCTGCAACTTCTGTTTGACATGACCCTCAAAATGAATCCAAAAAAGCCTGTTATCCTTTTGCCTCTGGAGCCTTTTTTCAGTTGTCTCCACTAGTTTCCTTAGTACTGTACAGTAGTTTATTTCTGTTTCATTCTTTCTGCTTGTACTGAAAAACCATCCATTGAGGAGCATATAATCTTTGGACCAATCAAGAGGTGAAGCATAGATTTTGGTATTGTTTGCTCAGTACAGTAGTTTATTTCTGTTGCATTCTTTTTGCTTCTACTGAAAAACCATCCATTGAGGAGCCTATAATCTCTGGACCAAGCCTGTTATCCTTTTGCCTCTGGAGCCTTTTTTCAGTTGTCTCCACTAGTTTACTTAGTACTGTACAGTAGTTTATTTCTGTTTCATTCTTTCTGCTTGTACTGAAAAACCATCCATTGAGGAGCATATAATCTTTGGACCAATCAAGAGGTGAAGCATAGAGTCAGGAGCTCAGATTTATTTATTTAGGGCACAATGTACAAATTGAGGGGGAACAATTCAAATTCACTTTATCATCCACTGACTGATCCACTGAACTCTCCCATTCTTCCTTATTTCCTGCCAATAAGGTGATGTCTACTGTGGCCACCCACAATTAATTTCCTGGCCAAGTGAACCATGTTCTCCAAAGCCCTTCTCCAAAGCCCCTCCATCAACTACACCACACTGGTTTTTACTAAGAACCCATGCAAATAGACAGTAGAAATGAGGCTCCAGAACTTATCAGAGGTACATGTCCTCTGGATCTGTGTAAGTGTGAAGTGTGTAATGCCCACCTGCCTGCCCACTTCTGTGGGTGTTTCTGTGAGTATGCCCATACGTCTGTCCATCTGTGCATGTATGTATATGCATGCAAGACTGTGTGAGTACCCATTTTCCTATGACTTTGTCTACCACTTGGTGTTTACCATGTATGCCACCAATTTCTACATGAGAAATGCAGCCTGTAAGCAGATGGAATAACCGGGCAGATCTCAGACATGCTACGGTGCCACCCAATCATTCAAACTGAGCATCAGTGTGCCAAGGAAGATGGAGAACCAGGAAGGTTCCCTTGGCCTTGTTACCTAACTGAAGTGTGGACCTACTTCCTTTCCTGAGAGGAGGTCTAACTCAGGCCAAGCCTACCACCAGTCTTGGGAAAGAATAAAAGGCGATTCCCACAAACCGAGGATCAAACTACAAGAAAGAACATGCCAGCTAAACAGCAGAAAGAACTTATGGATGATGAGAGCTGTTCAATAGTGAACCTGATTCGTATGGAGGGTGGTGATCCTCCTTTCCAGCAGGTTTTTAAACAACTGCAGAGTTCTGTGTTAGGACGGGGTTGTGCTGGACCTATATGGTCCCGTCCAACATTACAGTTTTAGAATTTTGTGGAGAGAACTGGCTTGCCGTCTTCATCTGATTCTCGAACTCCCCAAAATGTTCACACTTTTGAGAAAATATGAGCGCAGTGCTACCCCACTGAAGATACTGACA